TCATTTACCCTGGCCTGGGGTGCTCACATTGGCTTCTTTTCCCTCATTTCCTTGGTCTCCTTGGTTCCTGGGTTGGCATCTCCTGCAGCTCTGCAGGTGCTGAAGGAGTCATTTCTCGGACAGGTTTGGTGTGGGGGCTTGGGAATTTGGGATGCAAGGTGGTTGTTTTTCTGTTCTAGGGGTCCCAGGAGGCACAGCCAGGGTTTGGATTGAGTTTCAGGCAGTTGAGAGCTGGAGGTGGTCACCTGGAGAAGGGAAGGCTCTGAGGAGATGTTGAAACCCCTTCCAGTGCCTAAAGGAGCTCCAGGAGAGCTGCAGAGGGACTGGGGGCAAGGGATGGAGGGACAGGACACAGGGAATGGGGTCACACTGCCAGAGGGCAGGAATGGATGGGATATTGGGAAGAAATTGTTCCCTGGGAGGGTGGTGAGGTCCTTTAGGAAGCTGTGGCTGCCCCTGGATCCCTGGAAGTGTCCAAAGCCAGGTTGGACAGAGCTTGGAYCAACCTGGGACRGTGGGAGGTGYCCCTGCCACGGCAGGGGGTGGCACTGGATGATCAGGTCCCTTCCAACCCAAACCATTCCATGATTCAGTGATGATTCCGGTAACTTCCTACCCTTTTCAAATCCAGGAGGATACTCACAAAGTCCTTAGGGGGCACTAGTGGAGGTTCTCTTTGAAATCCATTTGTTGAGCGCTTGCAGCTTCCAAAAAYAAAACAGCAAGACAGGAAGTGGGAATTGGGTGGAAATTCCTTTTTACAAAATACTTGTAACACTGCGAGAAGATATCAAAYTTTATCAACCAGCAAATAAAGCCCAGTACAGCCGCACACAGCCCTTGAGACTCTTCTGAGGACTGGATTTCATTTCATGTCTTTTAACTCTGGGTTGTAGTTGTCGACAAAGTATTTCTTGTGTTCTGCCCCTCCTTTCTTCTAGTGCAGTTTGTAATACTTGAAAGGAATTTCTCTCATGACCATAATTGCAAAATGGTTGCATTTATTTTGGAGAGAGGCAGACGTGGTATGTGCTTTGTGGAGTAAAGCTGTGTTGGTTTCTTTGTTTGGTTTGGTAAATTGTAGCAAATGAGGGTTGGACTTGCACAAGCAGAAGAGTTTCTGTCTTAATTCACGTGTCCTGCACCTGCTGAGAAAAATCACCATGTGAACAGCAGAGTGGTGGGGGTTTTAATGTCCCATCTCTTCACAGGTTGAGGGGTTTTTGGTCACCAGGTGTCACTTGTTGCCTGTGGGCATGGAGTGAGATACTGCACATACTGATACAGGGRTGCCTTGGATCTGGAAGTGTCCAAGGCCAGTCTGGACGGGGCTTGGAGCACCCTGAGGTAGTGAAAGGTGTCCCATGGCARGAATCAGGGTTTAAGGTCCCTTCCAAGCCAAATTCTGATTCTGCAACGTGGCTGYGTCAGCTCTGCCTTCCAGCTGAAGGAGTTAACATTGCACTGGGGAGAGATGGAGGGCAGGGAGGAAAGCTCCTGGCTGCTGGGAGAGGCCGTGGGCACCTCTGTGGGGCTGAAACGTGAGGATGCTTTGTGGTGGAGGAGAAGACATTTTTCAGCAGCATTTTGCTGCACATCACTTCCAAACGAGGTTGCAAAAACCAGGATGTGGCGGTCAGGACAAGCCCAGCTCCGTGGCAAGGGGAGAGCTTTGTCCTTAGCGTGGTCTAATGGAGCTCTGCACCCTGCAAATGATGGCCATCATCAAGGGAAGCCGTGCCCGTACAGTCCATCAAGAGCCGCAGAGCTAATGATGGGCTGGGCAGATAATCGGGGGAGAGTTAATTGTAAGGTTCGATATGGCATCTTGTCAGCAGAGATAAGTTGTCACGTTTTCCACTTGAGCTGAAACTAAATGATTGTAAAATAAGTTATGAGTGTCCTTGGGCCTGTCTGCCAGAATGATGGCTAAGAATACATTCCTGGCCCATCAGTCTCAAGCAGCCCGCTTGATATTTATGCGAACTGAATGTTATTTTATTCCCCCTCTAGTCATGCTTGTCAGCTTCCCGAGTGAAAAGTGAAACTGCTGCTTTGACTCATACTTCAAGTATTGAAGCTCGGAGAGGCTGCAGATTGTTATTATTATTACCAGTATTATATATTTTTTCGGGTGTGTGTTGAACATTGATGCCCGATTGGGAAGAACTAATGGCTGACATTGAACGTGCGGGATGGCTGCAAAACAGCCCATCCCAGCCCAGCGAAACGCAGCTTATGAGTTCCAGTGCCTCTGTCAAAGCTGCTTGAGATGGGGAGTAATGAGGCGCTTGCTTTTTTAATTTGCCGTGCCTTTTTCCTTGCTTTTTTTTTCCCCCTCTTTTTTTTTTTTTTTTTTTTTTTTTAATAGTGCCGGCAGTGGTCGCCTGTTCTCAGGCGTGGTAATTGATACCAAATAAAATGCATTATTTGTATTCAGTCAGGAGGATGAAATTGCATTCAGCGGGCTGAAGCCTGAACTCATTTACAGTTTCCCGAAGCCCGGGCTTTCAGGAGCCCTCTTTTCAATTTGAAGAATACCTTGTCAGGCAAGAGAAGGAGTGGGGAATGGGAGAGCACAGCGTGGAAGCCCRGCGCCTTTTGATTGCTCATATTTTAAACCAGGGGAATGTTAAATAACTCCCATCTTCAAAGGGTGGGCTCGGAAACCGGGAATCCGGGGCAGGAGCGCTCTGGCGGCGTCGGCTCGGTGCCGTTTACGAGGGATCCACGTTGCCTGGCTGGTTGAGGGGGAGGGAAAGCTCCAGGCTCCCACTTGAGAGCAGTTTGACCCAAGGACAGCAGGTTATTACCTGGAAAGGGCTGCAGTTGGAGAGGATTTAGCACGGGAGGTTAATTCTTCAGCTCTCCGACGCCAGGCGTCAAACGTGTACGTCCCTCATTTTTCAGAGCTCACGAGCAGGTTTTGTTGGGGGGATTTACAGCCTCGGAATTGGACAGAGCTGCCAGCAGTGTGGGGATCTACCTTGATGGTTTTTAACAGAATATATTCTGTGCTGCTGCCTCAGGGCTGCGGGGTTTCTTCGCCCTTCCATGGGCTCAGAGCGCGGTGGTTGATGCTGCAGGCRTGATGAACATGGTTGGGTTTCATTSTTTCTAAATTTAATTATTTGTGAAGTGAAAACTGGGAATGAGGGGGGAAAAGTGAAGGATTTTGAGTCATAGAATCCCAGAATGGTTTGGATTGGAAGGAACATGAAACCCCACCTAGTTGTATCACCATGGGCAGGGACCTTCTGCTATCCCAGGGTGCTCCAAGCCCTGTCCAGCCTGGCCTTGGGCACTGCCAGGGATCCAGGGGCAGCCACAGCTTCACTGGGCACCCTGGGTTTGTTTTTTTTTTCCCTTCTTTTTAAGTATCAACRTAGGAAAGCTCCAGAATCAAGCTGGAGGTCAATATTTGGGACTGGCAGTRACCCCATTGTGTCTGTGCCAATGTTTTTGTATTTCTGGCATCCTCCTCTGCATCATTTCCATGTCATGGATCCAAAGGGATCTCTGTCCCCTTGGCCAAGAGTTTATGGAGCACTGTCATTGATTTTCATCAGGATTTGCCTTCCTCTTCTGAAAAAACAGCAAAATCTGCCAGGAGAGCCACTTGCACCAGTTACAGGTCAAATCCTTAAAATCTCCTACCCAAATATACAGTAAATACATTGCCACGATTTTTTGGGGGTTAAATTCTTGGGAACTGGTTTCAAGCTGGTGGATGTAGGGAAAAGAACAAAAAGCCTTAATATAAAGATTAATGTTTGATTTGGTCTCTGTTGCCAGGCAATTAGCTACATAATTTATCCCCCACTAATAACTTAGAGCACAACTGTGCTTAGGGGGTAATTAGTAAATAAACTTTATTAGGAAGGAAAAGAAACCAAAATAAGTTGGGTTTTGTCAAATAGGCAGTTCTGTGGGAATTAAACTATGCAAAAAAAAAAATCAGAAGCTGTTTTTTTAAATAATCCTCAGCTTGATATTTTTCTGACATAGTAGTTAAACTTACATGCACTCCTGGTATTACACTTAAGCTTTATATGAAGGATTTTTATTCTTTTCCCCATGTCTGCTATTCTGAAACCAATCATCAAGTATTTAACCCCRAAAGGCAATCATGGGAATGTATTTACTGAGTATCTGTCTAGGAGATTTTAAGGATATGGYACATAATGCAGTCCTGAGATGGCACTGAAGTGCAATATGGTCTTTAACTAAGGTTCTGGAAATGGCTTCACATTCCATAATAGCAAGCACTTTCCKCAAAGTGAAGGTTTGATGTGGAATTTTATAATTAAAATCCAAACTAAGCCAGTAATGAAACAAAAATCATATTACCAACCTTGAGGGGAAATCCTGGTTTAAGGTTTCTTGAGTATTTACTGTGTGAAAGGACCCAGTTCTTAAAATTGTTGGAGTTAATAAAGCAGGAGACTGAACACAGTAACATAGGATTTTTTTTTTTTAATTTTCACTGGGAGCAGGTAGGAAGTGCCCCTTTATCACACAATTATMACCTGTCCCAGGTGGACTTCTTTAACCTTTTTTTCCCACCTTTATTGCCCTCACCACCTTGTCACTGTGTGTCCCATATCAAAGGCAGCAGATAACATCCAGAGGATGTAGGGATATCTCTGTTCCATCCTCTATTAAAATGTCCAAGTGTCACACAAGTTTATTTGAGGATAGGGAAGATCTTGGGACAAGGAGCAATTGGAAGCAATAAAGTGCTTTCCCATTGTTTTGTGTAAAATTGATGCTGAGTCCTGTTAATCTAACAGGACCTGAATGCAAACTTCAGCCAAATTGGTGTGTTTTATATMTTTTTTAAAAAAATAATGGATATTGTTTGGAGAATCTCCTGAAGGAGCCCTCAAGCACATCTGTGAACACACATCCGGGGTTATAGCTTGGATTCTAACAAWCACTCATTTAAATCTGGAAAATTTTTATTTTCCTTCCCTTTTTTTTYCCCCACCCAACTGCAGACACCGGCCTGGGAGATTCTGTGTGCTCCAGCCCCAGTATATCCAGTACCACCAGCCCCAAACTGGACCCCCCTCCTTCCCCCCACGCCAACAGAAAGAAGCACCGCCGGAAGAAAAGCACAAGCAACTTCAAAGCTGATGGGATCTCGGGCACAGCTGAAGGTAGGTTTCAAAAAAATTCAAGCCTGAATTTTGAAAATGCCATTCCAAAGAGTGTTGTTAACTCAGCTACAGCCTTGGCTTTGAATGCACGAGGGAAAGGGAATTGTGAGAAATTAAAGACCGAGCTTTTAATGATGGAGCTGAATCATCTGAGGCATCACAGCGGTGAATTCAGCTGCCTGAAATGTGTTTAGAACCCTTTTTTTTTTTTTTTTAAATAAATCAGAGTCCCCAAGTTAATGTGGAGCATCATTAGGTGCTGAGGTAAGGAAGAGGCACACTTGGAAGGTTAACAAGGAGGAAAAAGCTCAGGCTCGCCCCGTAGCCCACGGATCACGTCAGACCTCGTGTATTTTTTCAGGATTATTAAATCACATCTCCTTAGGCATATCCTGAGCTCTAGAATGGCCAACACTTCTGATGCCTCTCATTGTTTGAATATTCAGCTGCTCGTGGAAAGCTTGTGTTATTTGAGGATAAAAGGGAAGAGGGGAGAGTTTAAATGTTTGGGTTCTTTTTTTTTTAAGAGCCGGAAAGCAAAAGCCRAAAAGAACTTCTTTTTCTCCCTTAGTTTAGCTTACTATTTCCACACTGCTGTAGCTGTTCAATGCCCTTCTGAAGGGGTAACAATGTGTACAGGAGCCAGATATGATATAAAACATGCTTGTAGCTTTAGAAAAGAAGAAAAGAAGCATGCTAGGATTCAACCAAAAGAGCTCCAGAAAAAAAAAAGACGAACAAGGGTGGTTGGAAGGCTCAGAAACTGGGGAGTCAACACATAAGGAGAGATGAAAAAGGGAGACAATGGAATAACATTGTGGGAAAAGGGGAGTGTTGAGTAAGAAAAAGATGTGGTTGTAAGCATGGGAGAGTGAAAAACAGCTAATTCAGTATCAAAGAATGTTGGAACAAGTTCTGAAAAAAGGATGACAATTGCAGACAGCTGAGGAGACATTAAAAATAGATGTGATAATAGTATACAACCGAGAAGGGGCATGTTAACTACTACTTAGTCATCCTTATTTTCCATTTATTTAATTTCTCAATTGCACTTCTATCACATCCGGAATTTATTTCCCCAGCTATCTATACAAATCCTTTTTTAAAAAGCCATCAGCTTTTTTTCAGAACAGCTCCTGTTGTGTTCTCTTTCCAGTCATTTAACTATCTTTGCTGTTAGTTTCCCCCTAGTTTATGGCCTGAAGCCAAATTTTCGTTCAACCTTTCATTTTTAATTTGTCCCCTCTTTTTTTTTTTTTCTCTCTAAAAGAAGCCCTTTTACACCACTTATTTTCATACCTCAATGAAAAAATTACAGAGGGGATTTTTCAGAGCGTTCACCATTGGTCCAAGAATATTTTGTTGAAGTCAATCTGAATCAAGACCAGCTGGATATCGGGAGCCTTTGAAAAATCTCTTTCTGAGCRGTTAATAGGTGTATGTTTTCTTTCTCCTGGGGAGATTGTTTTCACAAGGCACTGGAGCTGGAGCCTGGGTGGTCCTGGACTGCAGGCACGGCCCCAGAGGGAGCAGTGGGGGTTTGCAGTTGCGTCTCCTGTCCCYGGTGTCCCTGTTCTGGTTGCAGAGTCCATCCTTCATCCTCCTCTGTGTTCTGTTCTTCTTTTCCCTGTCCTCCTGCATCACCCCATGGTATCTGAAATCCTCCTGCAGTAACTCAGAATTGTCTCCTCTCAGAGAAAYGAGAATGTGCTTCCAGAAGGTAGGAAGTTGTTCTCAAGGAGCACCTCAATTATACACAGAGCCTCAAAGGGGATGGGATCATTTAGGGYGGAAAAGCCTTCTGAGACCATTGAGTCCAACGCCACCACTAACCTGTAGTTCCCAAGTGCCACATCTGCACAGCTTTTAAATCCCTCCAGGGATGGGGACTCTGCCAGCACTGGACAACCCTTTCTGTGAAGAAAATTCCCCTGATAYCCAGTCTGAACCTCCCCTGGCACARCTGGAGGTGTTTCCCCTTATCCTGTCCCTGTTCCCTGGCAGCAGAGCCCGACCCCCCCAGCTGCCCCCTCCTGTCAGGGAGTTGTGCAGAGCCACAAGGTTCCCCCTTTTCTCCATGCTGAGCCCTTTTCCCAGCTCCCTSAGCCACTCCTGGGGCTCCAGTCCCTTCCCCAGCTCTGTTCCCTTCCCTGGACATGCTCCAGCAGTGCCAGCACCTCCTCTGACAGTGTCTCTTTGGTTGTTGGTGTCTCTTTCCAAGCACATCCCAGTGAAAAGCAGCAGAAAAAAAGAGCAGAACCCCGAGTTTCCATTCACTGCTCAGGGCATCCCAGAGCTGCAGGAATCCTTCAGCAGCCAGCTAATCTGACTGGTCCTTGAGTGCATGGCAGGGCTGGGAGGGGATGGCTGACAGCGAGGACAGGCAGCCTCGTCTGTCAGCAGCACTGAAGGAGAAGGCAATGAGGCGTCTCCAGCTCCCTGTCCTTTGAGGAGAAGGGCGTCTCATATGCAGTAATATCCACACAGGTTGTGGATTCCTGTTAAGGACGTCCTAGCAAGGCTCAAAAGGCTGGGGGGGGTTGTTCTTCCCAAATCCTGGCAGCTCTTGGGTTTTCTGGTGCTCGTGTTGGTGCAAGCCAGAATCGCTGAATAGCTGAGGCTGGAAAAGGCCTTAAAGGTCCTCAAGTCCAGCCAGGTTCAGGGTGTTGTGGGCGTTTTCTCCAAGGAGTTGAATGTCAGAGGAGTTTAGGGTGGATTTTGGGAAAGTTCTTCTGTCCTCAGAGGGTGCTGGTCACTGCCCAGGCTCCCCAGGGAATGGGCACAGCCCCAGAGCTCCAGGAGKRTTTGGACAGCRCTGCCAGGGATGCACAGGGAGGGATTGTTGGGGTGTCTGGGCTTGGATTCAATCCTTGTGGATCCCTCCAACTCAGGGTATTCCACAATTCTGTGATTTTGACACCTGCCCTGCACTTGAGAGCAGTTTTCATTTCCAGTTATTTCCTTGTTCTCYAACGCTTGGCTACAAATCTGCCCAGTGACCTAAAAGATTCCCTCTGGGATTTTTCTTCCCCCACCATAAGGCAGATTGAAACCCTCAGAGCACTCTGCACTTTGGAAGACCACAAATCCCAATTAGGCAGTCAAAGAGGATGTTCTGGGAGATGCAGCTTTGATCAGGTGTTTGAGATRCAGCTGGTGGCTCGCTGCAAATGGGCTGCAGAAGCCTGCGGTGATAATTGTGGGAGAACCATGTCTTCCTTCCTTCCTTCTGGAAATCCTGAGCTCCACGTGCAAAGAAGGAGGAGGATCCTCCTGCAGGCCCTATTCTCAGGCAGGTACAATGGATCAGAGTTAAATGGTGTGGGTAATTCTAGATTTTATGTCGCCTTCCTTTGGCTCCAGGCACGTTTCAAGTGGCAGCTTTAAAACAGGAATTCTGGGTTCCTTCATTTTCGTCTGTACCAAAGCTGAGGTGTTCAATGAGGTTTAAATCTGGTCTTCAGCAAACTCGAGCATTTTTGCTGCACTTTGCAGGGCTTTTTTTCCCTCCTTGAACGTGCCTGCTTTGATCATTGACCTCTGCCCAAGTATTCAGATATCACGATGATGGACACTGAGCTCAGGGTGATTCACCAATTCCAAGGACTGATGCTCATCCCTTTCATGCCCTTCCATAAAGGCCATGCTGATTCTTCTCTCTCCACACTATCTGCACATGCACAGCCCTCTCTTTCTGGGATGGGTTCTTTCATCTCCCTTGGTTTATCTTTCTGCAGGTTTTCTGAGACAATGCTCGCAGCAACAAAAATGCTAAAGCACCTGCGCTGCGCTCGGACCGAAATTAAAATTCCATTCCTATTTCGGAAAATCAGATTCAGGGAGAAGTTTTTTAGTTCTCTGTGCAGAACTTGTCGCTAAAAAAAAAAAAAAAACCCTCGGTGTTTTTGAGGGTAGCAGCAGGAATGCTTACATTAGGCAAGGTGCCAGCAACCAGCAGGTTTTTTTCCCACCACGCTGCCTGAAGTTGCTCGGAGCAGGATTAGACAGAGCTGTGTTTCAAAGAGGAATGGCTGCTCAGAGCCTCATCTGTTTGGGTCCCCTTGTGCTGAACCAGTCAGGGATAATAGGAAGGCTTTTCAGCTGGAAAACAAGCAGGAAAATTTAAAAGCTTCCTTGGTAATGCTCTTCGCAGAAAAATCTTGCCTGATGTTTATTTTTCTTGCTCTTGTTAGTTCTAAAGCTTCACGGCTCTGCCAGCTTGAACCTGCCTTCCCTCCATCCATCACTGGGATTTTAGGAGAGCCCCAGGCTGCTTTTTGGTATTGGAATCATCTTGCTCTCCAGGAGATCTGGCCAGTGGAGCCAGCCCAGCCACATCCCTCAGGGTGACCACAGAATCAYGGAATTGTTTGGATTAGAAGGGACTTTTAAACCCATCCAGTCCCTGTCCCATGGGCAGGAACACCTTCCACTGTCCCAGGGTGCTCCAAACCCTGTCCACCCTGGCCTTGGACACTTCCAGGCATCCAGGGACAGCCACAGCTTCTCTGGGCACCGTGTGCTAGGGCCTCCCCATCCTCCCAGGGAAGAGAATTTCTCTCCTCTCTCAGCATCATAGTGCAAAACCCCTCCAGCTCCGCGTTCCCTGCGCGCGGGTGGAGCTGGGAAACAGTGCTCGAGGAGCAGGAAATGTGATCAGCAACTTGGGAGACTTTGCAAACTCTCTGAAATCCACATTCTTCTTCATCATTTGTTTCTGAAGAAGTTTTGAAGGACAAAGGAGGACCTTTTATGTTTCTCCTCAGAACTGTTTTCTTARCACAAAGGTATTTGTTCTCTGCCCCTTGTGCAGTAATTGCTTTTCCTGGTGCTTTGCTGCTCTGTGCAGTCTAGACCCAACTCCAGGTTTACACTTTCTGACTTTTAGCTAAGGATGAAACCCAGTTTCCTGAGAAATACAATTTTTTTCATTTTCCTGGGGGTAAACTGATAAACTCTCGTTTTTTAAAACACATGTGTTTTGTGTTGCWGAGTGTTGA